TGTGATTGGTTGGCTTGCTCGGGTCGTAGCTCTTCACGTATTGATTATTTGCTTTCGTGTATCGTTTGGTTACCATGGAAATCCCGCCTTGTAATCCTTTCTCAATGAATAGGTGCATGTCGTAAACGGTGAGCAATTCCAGCTTAATTCCGGTCTTTTTCAGCAATGCATCCCACAACAGGCCTGGGCTGGTGTAATACCATGCGGGGTTGAGTGGATACTGCTTGAGTTGATACTGCTTGAAACACGTCCGCCTAAACGTCTTAAACACGTCGGCTAGCAGCAGTACATCTGTCCTCAAGTACAGGTCGTGATAGTCACCAGATTCTTACAGCCCAGTTTATTCCATACGTTAATCGCGTGCGAGTAATCATCTTGGGATATTGTCGAGTCGGTCAGGTTGCTCTAAAATTGTCTGATCGGGGGTAGTCGGGTCTCGGCGAACTTGGCCCAGCCATCCATGAGCTCGTAGGGGTACACACCCTTCCTCATCAGCAGGGGTCGAGTCTCGGCGTCAGTGTATCGATCGGTGATGGGGAAGGTATCGTTTGTCTTGACCAGACTGTCGAGTGACGACAGGAGGAACTGAATCGAGACAATGAACCTCAGGCCATTTAAGCTGAAGGAGATGAATCTCTCCACATTGTTGGGGATGCACGTCAGGTTGCCATCGACTTTCACGATGGCCTGCATGATTAAGTGAGAGTCGTACCCTCTCAAGTTGTGGAAGACCACGGGGATGTTTATTGTCTTGGGGTTGATTCTGAGCTTGAGGTTACACGCGTTGTGAGCGGCACCTCTATACTTACTGGTGACGTGGCAGTGATCTCTCACCGAATCACCGTTCAGTGGTGAGTCACACACGTGGCAGTGAGTGCTGCAGGTGTGAGCTAGCCGGTCGGATTGGGCCATACGCATGGGAGCGACTGTGTACAGTGCATTCCTGATAGTTTTTTCTTCCTCCTGCAAACACTTTAGAAACTTTTCAGCCGCTCGTGACCCCTGAACACTATGGGAGCTTTCGTTTCCCCATCACATCGGACGAAACCCAAACCCACAGGCCTCATGCTCCTGTGTTTTCTGTGTGCCTGGTGTACCCCCAGCAGCCTCAATGGGTTTGACCAAGGCTTCAAAGTCGGCGTAGATGACATAAGGCATCTGATTCTTATGGTTGGCGAATGTTAGGATATTGTCGCCTTCCTTGGGCATGTCAACTCGTATGGCCGTCGGTCCCACACTTTGGCAATCCTCCCGGTGGGATTCTAATAAATCAGCTCGTGTGAAGCCATGTAGGCATCGTTTGCAAAAGTGTGTTTTCCCATCATATTTCGACTGGTCATGCAACAGCCTGCTGAGATGTTTTATCCACGTGAAGTGATACTTATCACCTCACTGGGTCATGAATATATTGATCACGCGGCGACCCAGTTGGGGTTCCCCCAACGGACTGACCCTGTGCACTATTGTTGTGTTACCTTCGTGGCCTAAGACGTTTATTGCTATATCATTCTGTTTTTCTATTTTAGTGATCTGAGATATGGGGGTGGGTTCATCTGTACCATCCCAGTTGAGCCCATCGTCTTGGGGATAACTAGAAGGCCTGTTCAAATTAGTGTCAGCTGGAAACAAGGCTGACCTGATAGCTACCCTCAGGCAATCGTCTCCTCTATTCTTGATGTTGACCATGACCTGTTTTTTCTTATAGTAGGGGGACAAGTCTAGGTATGACCCGCCTCTGAATGGCACGTAGTTAGCTATGTCTAGATAAACATTATTGATTTTATCAACAACCCGTCCAGACCCCATGTGCGTGTAGCGTTCTAGGTATTCTCGTATCTGCTGAAAACTGATATCGATTGATGCGTCTATAGTCTCTGTATGAGTCACGACTTCTTGTTAACCTCGGAAGTAAGGCTGAACGTACTCAGTGACCCCATTTCCCTGCTTATCGAGTGACATTTTCACTGTGATTTGAAACTTTATACTTCCCAAATCGTATAGTTCCTCATTGACTTTATCAGCAATTAGAGGCTTGATATCGGCGATGTCTATGTTCCTATCAACATGCATGCACCAGCCTCTCAAATAGTTACCTACTGCATGCTCAGTATGCATGAACTCTAGGTCAATCACTCTATTCTGTTGTAATAGTTCTACTAGCTGTGGCTTCCTCATACGGCAATAAACGGCTAACCCGAACTTTTAATTGTTTTACAGTGAGGAGCTGAACGCGAACGGGGTCGTTTAATAATGCGACTAAACCGGCTCTCCCCAGGTGGGAATAACCCCTCAACCCAAGCTCTTATGCTCGGAGTTTTAGTTTTTTACCGTAGGAGGGGCTTGTAGGCCTAGTAACCTCAAGAACTGTGGTTTCCTCATTCTAGAATAACCAATTACACCTCGCTGCTTGGCGATCTGCTTGAACTCGCAAGTAGTAGACATAGTTGCATACACACCTAAGTATATCGATTTCTAATTTGGCCACCGCCAAGGGAGGTAACTCCTCCAACCTTGATAAAAAAAATAGTGATGCGCCCATAAAATCCTTAGTAAATATCTAGATAGACCTTATCGATTTTACCCTCGACCCACCCTGAACATGGGCAGCATTGTAGGGTGTTTTGTATTATTTGCAACAAGTCGTCAACAAGTATATTTATCTCCCCATGCCTATCTACTGGGCCACCATCAAAGTAATTCCAAGTGTGCCCAGCCCACGGCACATCAAACCCTACTTTCACCATGATTGTAAACGAGCACCCCTTATATAGTTTGCTAACAAGCATGGGTTTGAGGACACTGATATCTATACTTTCCCCCCACATCCATCTGCCAGCTACCTAGGTGTGTCCACAGCCTCTAATTGAGGCCTTACACTGCTATCCTGAGGAGGCGTCTGCGTTCTTTTCTGTAGTCTTTTTTCTTCTCATAGATGAGATGATGCCTGACTACGTTTGCTCCATGAGCTTTGCATAGGCAGTAGTGCCCTTTCACTCCGATACCACACACAGAACACATGTAGTTCGGGCTTCCCATGTGGAAACAACAGTACCCCTCAGTCCTGCATCTCTTACCGCAGGCCTCGGTCTTCCCCATAAGTATGTATTCGCATCGGTACGGAGCAGGTCTCATCTTTTGCTATACTCATATTCTTAGTATAATTGTCACAGTCGCTGCTAGACTCAGCGCCATAAAGATCAATTCTCGGTCTATTTGCCCCGAGGATGGTGTGTAGTACTGAGTGAGTGTGGGCTTAGGAGGGAGTGGTTCTAGCTGTTAACCTGTTAGTAGGTAGTATTCTCTCGCTGTGTCGTCGACATCGTGGAATGTTTTAACAGCATGGTTCTCGTGCCTGAGTTGTTCGTTAATGTGATCGATCCTCTGGACACGTTTTTTCGCGTACTCAGATTGCTCTGCTTGTAATCGTTCCACAGCCAGGTCGTGCGGCTTCCGTTCCGCTTCTATCTCAGCCGCGTGTGACTCTCATAGTTTCGAGAAGAGGAAATTACTCCCTGAAAATGCCAGGGCATTTACTAACGCCCCACCGAACATCATGGCGTTCGTAGCCATCCTATTATATATTAGCACATTTACTTCAAAATATTTTCTGGTAGGATCCCTTGTTTTACTAGGATGTCCTTGGTGGCCATCGCCATACCAAGGTTCATTATGAGCATACCCATATCCTGCAGGTTGAAATCTAGCTTGATAGTCGGTTGTTTAAGCACCATTTTGGTCAACCGAGCGTACCCTACAGCTAGACTGGCGACCACAGTGGCGTGGTATGCGTCGTTTACGAACGTTTTCCCCTCAGACATTATGTATATGATAAAAAATATATAAATTATAACATGATATGTGGGTTGACCTCTAATTGCGGGGGTTCCTCCCTGGGTCGTGTATATAACCATGACATAGCCACGGCAGCAGTTGCGCCTGCAATCAACAGGAGTGGAGCCGGGCTCCACGTGTTACTCTTATGTTGGTTAGACCACCTTTTTTAACCAGCAGCTACTCTCTTAGGGTTCTTCTGTCTGGTGACTGTAGGGGTCACCTTGGAAGGATTCACCTCCATTTCGGGTTCCCCCATTTGGGGTGGGGTTTCCTCTGGAGGGTTCCCCTGTGCAGTATCCATCTATACTATTATTATTATTTTTCCCCTCCTTAACTTGGCAATGCTTTGCCATGATAATTCCCAACGGGGCTAAAAACATACCACATACCAATGGTACATAATGAACAAATATCCTAAGTATGAACTTTGGTTTGGCTTCCAGATACATTTTGAGCATTCTGTTATATTAACAAATTGCACAAGTACATATTCAATGTCAAAATATTCTTGTATAGTGTTATCCAAGAATGACGTTAGTTTAATTTCGAAATTAAACTCGAACTTCATTTTGCAGACCCGCCCTTCGTCAAGTACGAGAAGACTGTTCAGATTAGGAATGTACAGTCCAGGACTGTAAGGTGCCTGGTTGATTCCTATCCAAGACACCACGTGCTAACGTGGACGCTGGCAACATCAGCTGGGACCAGAACTCAGTCAAACCACCAAGACAACTTCCACATTGTCAACGCCAGTGCCAGAGATGAAGGAACGTACACATGCACAGCTACCAACAACCTAACGTACCCGGATGGTCAAGTCCAGACAGGAACTGGAACCTGTGTCATTAATGTGAAGGTCATGTCTCCCAGTGGTGGTACGCTCATCATTAAAATTAGTATTCAGCCTAGTAAACCTAGATGTGCAGACATAAAAATACCAGTGTAGACCAGAGGTCGAAATTATGAGACCACGTAGACAGGACACCCAATGAACAGGACAAAAAATCCATTTGGAAATTTGCTGGAGACATATTGTGACCCTGAATCTTCACAGGATAAATCTTTAAGTAATGAGAAGGGCTTAAGAAAGGTGAGCTTGTACAATACCCAATCACTTGTCTGTGATTTGTCAATAACAATTAATCACTCAATTCATACAAGGTAAAACTAATTGTTATTCCAATTTTAATAACATATACCAAGTTAGATATGCTACTGAGTGACACTTTTTACTTTGTTATTACAGATGCGCCAAATGGGTGAGTGGACCAAATTTTTACTTTTGTAAAAAAGAAAGAATAGAACACAAACCGAAAACCTTAGCATATGCATATTCACAGATTCAGCTTCTTGTCAAAATGTTCATATCTATGAGATGGAGGAAATAGTAGTGATGTTCTGCAACATTTGATTGCTTCAGAGACAAGTCCGTGGAGATGACGACAGTTAACAGGACCGGTGTTGCCGCCATTTCCGGTATGTTGGAGTGCAACAAATTTGTCGATATGTCCCATTTGCCGAAATAGTCGAGCACTCAAAATTATTGCGAAACTATTTGAATCAGTTTTGAAGTCGAACCATTATTTTCCTTTTGCTGAATAAGATATGTTCATTGATTTCAGGTCAACTGTACGAAAATGCATAACATCACTGTTGGAAGTGAACAAGCCATTGTTCCCTCAGAGATTGCATGTATGAAATAAAATGGGGAGTGACGACACCAATAACGGAGAAACCCTTCGATTATTCAGTATCAGAAATAAAGAACACCAAGCTTCCAAGACAAAATCCGACATGAAGGTACTGTCATCTCCGAAACTTAATCAAGTACCTCCTCAGCCACATCATCATTTAAGGGGGAAGCTCGAAGAAGCCACAGAAATAAGAAAACACCATCCTGCCATGAACCGTCACCAGAGTAATGATTAGTCCAATGCTTGGGATTCTATGTTGTAAATTTTATATTGCCTGAGTTTCTCATATTGTCAGAAGTGGGGTATGGATTACCTGTTGTTTTTGGTCGTGTGATTTGATTGAGTCAGTGAGTGTGTTTAGTTGTATGCCGCTTTTAGCAATATTCCAGCTTTATCACGGCAGCGGAAACCATAAATGGGCTCACACATTGCACCAATGTGTATACCAATGTGACGAGCGAACGCTTCACCCACTAGGCTACCTCCCCGCCCCATGATTCCTCTGAAATGACACGATAAATGTATCTCTCAAAGATATGTTACGCTCATTTTACTCCAACCAAATATTCTTTTTCAAATCCTTTAGACATTCAGTAGGGATTCCATGACATCGTGTCATGCCAGAGGAGACTTCTTTGATTGTGTGGTAAGATTTGCATACTTTAGTAAAACACTAGGCAAGGAAAAGATTGTAACGTGTTTTCTGTTTAATGCTGATAGACTGATTTTTGTGTATGGTACGATACAAGACGAGGTAGGCGTTGTAGAGGGTTGAGTGAGTTTATCAGTGATCAACAGTATGATCATCAGTCTACGCATTTGGGTTACCATGACATGTGCCAACAAAGCCAGCAAGCCTGACCACCCGATCCGGTTAGACAAGCATGGGTTACTGAAGACCAATTCTAACCCGGATCTTCACGGTTCTGTTACTTGTGGACACTAAGAATAAAACCAGGACTGGTCAGTTTGGAGTCGGTATGATGTGTCCATTTTAAATCACCATATGTTTTTTGTTTGTTTGTTTGTATGTTTAACGCCGCTCTCAGCAATATTCCAGCAATCTGATTGTGAGTCTGGACCAATCGACCGAACCATTGCCACCATAAACATCGATCAATGCATTTGGGAAACGATGACACGTGTCAACCAAGTCAGCGAGCCTGACCACATGATCTTGTTAGCATGGTTTGCTGTGGACCCTGATCTTCACGGTCATTTTGTGTTATTTCAGAGGGTTTCTGAGTATTACACGTACGCACGCACGCACGCATACAAACACTGTTCGTTGCCTGGCTCATGCGATCTCTCACACAATGGAACATTCTTCATCTGTACTACTGAAAAGTCCACATCTTGAATAAGAAAAGCTTATGTCAGCTAATGTTGATTATATTTCAGTCACATCCTGAAAACAGAAATTCATAAATTAAGAATAAATCTTATAATATTATATAAAATCTGTCTTCGAAGGACAGTATTATTACTAGAATGTCACATATATTATTAAAACTAAAATATTAAGCTTTGATTGACAAACTCAATAAAGAAGTGGTCTAGAGATCGCGAGCAACTAAATGTGAGGCCACCATACTAGGCACCGTGGGTACTTACAATACTTCTCCTTCCTGCACGGCTCTCCAGTAGGATGTATACCACCCTTAAGCAGCTAGCGAGTGTATGCAATGTAAGCCATAACTCTAATACATTACGATTAAAAGCAGTGATATATATGAATATTCTTTGAAGTATGTGGGCTTATATAACCTCTCAGTGAGGCAGTACGTTTACAGTGCTTCAACTCCTATCAAGGGTAAAGCCACAATCAACGTCCATTATCAAATGCTACCTACACTAAACGCCAAAAGAAAGGCTACCCTCCTTCCTAATGACGGAGGTACGTATCTTAAACTGACGTTGTGACGCGTGGACGTCCACTTCTTGGTCTGTCTACGGTGACCCCAGTCTGTTCCTATAGCCCTGAAGAAGTCCACTTATACCCGTGAAGCCCTGGAAGTGCCATCCGAGGGCTTTGGCAACAACATTGTATGTCGACCCCCATCTGCACCATCCCAATGGCTCTTTCTCTGTCGTCAGCTGTTAATCGTGGCATATTTCTCGTACTTGAGTATCATATCATCTTTTCTAGGCTCTGTTCATACCCTATACAATCATTCTACATGTGAAATGGATGCAAATGCTGCCTGAATGTTGCTGCGTTTTGGCGATTGATAGTGCAATGTGTAAACAGAAAGTGGAATAATGTTACTTTGCAAAGAAAAATGTATACAAAGATCATTGTAGATGTTCCTAAACATTTTTTTCACAGTTTCAAAGATGCCCTGGACTTGTTTTCTGTAATGAAAATCAGCAGAAAATGTTTTAAAAGACTGAAATCATAAAAATGATTATTTTACAATTGTACACACCCTACAACAGTTGTTTCTTGTTTAATAGTTGAAAAAATGGTGACTGTAAAATGGTTTTATCAGTTGTTTCTTGTTTAATAGTTGAAAATGGTGACTGTAAATGGTTTTATCTTGTATTATCTTCTAACATATCTTTGTTTTAAGTATTTCCAGTGTAGCATAAGTTTTTATTTCAACCTTTCTTTTCACTCGGACATCTAAATCACTGTTATTGGTTTATTTAATGATGGATTTCCGGAACTGTGCCTTCAGAATGAAGCGCAATGACTTCATTCCAGACCTGCATTGTCTACTCAATTACAGGAAACAAACGTCTTGGATCAGACTCAGTCACGTTGACGGTTCTGTGTAAGTATGGCACACAAACAGAAGGACACACGAGCGGCATATAATGAGGCACTCAAACTGACAGTATTGTATTATGTGCTCCCTGTGTAAGTCCTCATCAATTGTCCAGCTGAATGACGGTCTGTAAACAGTCAAGATCAGACAAACCAGTGACTGACATCATGATGATCAGACATCTGAGCATCTGGTATACGATGACATGCATCAACCAAGTCAACGAGCCTGACCACTAGATGCTAGTTGCCTCTTGCGACACGCATTGGTTGCAGAAGATCAATTCTAACCCGAATAATACCTATATAACAACTGAGAGGCAGAAAAGGAATTTTTAATCCATTAATTCATGTGGAGTAGGGGTGCCAAGTATATACCCTTATCGTATTTAATAGCAACAAAAATAGGAGATGCTATCAAGCTCTCAATAATAAATTCAATCCCATCACAATTGTGATGCCCATTTCTGGAGCCTCCTTGATTTGACTAAATATTGATGATCAAATACATGACCTGTTTCATTTTGTAACAATAATAGGAGATGCTATCAAGACTGACCATGATGAAGGAGCCATTTACGCCTAGATGATCAAATACATGACCTGTTTCATTATGTAACAATAATACTTCAGGACCATGACAAACCATTTACGCCCAGCGAGAGAGACACAGTGAATCTCAGCAGGTCCGACATCAGCCTTCCAGCACCACAGATGGCGTCTTCAGATGGAACCACCAGTCCATAATATACAGGTCTGGACTCCTGAGTTCGCCGAATCGACCAAACCACCAGTCATGTAAGTCTTCAAAAGTGATTCTATACAGCTGCATCACCCGGGGACTATATCCTGGATGTCACAAATACGTTTCCCTCTGGGCGTTCAGACTGTGGCATAGGTCTAATCTAACTGTATGTGCCATGTAAGTCAGACTATTTTATAAACAGTTTCAATAATTTAACGTTTTCACAAATTGACTCCTTTTATAAACTATAATGTGAAAATGCAAGTATTGATACTTCGTGGTTTCCTGGTAAGTATTCATGTTACAACGTATTAAAGCTGATATTGTAATAATATCCAAACACATGTTTAATGTCTATTTTCATAGAAATGATCACAGACGAAATACTGATTATAGTCTATCCATTAACTTACAATGTGATGAAAAAATTATATTGGTGCTTTGCAAACACAGTAATACTCTTGGCAATCAAAAAGATGTCTACACAGATCCATACACCTTGACATGGTCCACAGTACAGGATACAAGGAAGAGGTGTCCTGCATAACAGAGAAATACCATATTCCTAAAGTATCCCACTCTGATGGCGCCCCCTACACGTGTGAGTCCACGAACAGCATCACCAACCGCGATGGGAACGTTGACACTGGTGTTGGAACGTGTACCATTGTCCGTTGGTAACTGTCCACGACGTCGAAGGTAAGCTCTAAAATAGACATTTATCCACTCCTAAATGATGTTTGATTTTGTTTATTTGTTTGTTTGTTGTTTAAGGCCACACGCAGCAATATTCCAGCTATATGGCGGCGGCCAATAATCGAGTCTAGACACTAGACAATCCAGTGATCAACATCAAGAGCATCGACCTACGCAATTGGGACACGATGACATGTGTCAACCAAGTCAATAAGCCTGACCACCCGATCCCGTTAGTCTTACGAGAAGCATTGATTGTTGAACACCAATTCCTGATCTTTACAGGTTTCACACATGATGACAATTTCGTGGAATCCGCTGAATGTGTGGCACAAACATATCACTGCAAATCAACGTATTTGTAGCAATATATATAAGATAGTTTACCATTGGTGATTGACAGTAATAGGTTGCAGCTTAGAATATCCAAATATTGCACAGGAAAATGTTATGTAAAGTTCATAAAACTTTCATCTTATGTCGATTCTTTTAGTCACTGACTGCTTTATACATTCCTCAATTTCAGCTACAATATTGCCAGTTGTTCCTGCCAAGTCACATGACAAGGGAGGCAACTCTATGACGACTGTTGTGTATGTTGTTGGGACGATCCTTGTCCTGAGTGCTCTCGGCCTTGTCATTGTTCTCGTGGTGATGACACTGAAGCGTCTCCAGGTGAAAGGTACTTGTCGGCTTGCAACATACTGATCCATCACATTCTAGAAACAGTAGAATTAGATATGACTTTAAAAGATTTAACATGTGTAATATTTGGGATTACACTTTCTTAATAACGTACACATTCTAGTACTTGTTGGGGACTGAGTCAACACACTCGAAGCCACACCCTCAATGGGGTGTACAAAGTCCGCAGTCTAGACTACCAGTTGTCCGACTTACATTTTTTTAGGAAACTGCGATAGCTGAGTGGGTTAGGCGTCTGACTTTGTGTCCTGGCAAATAGGTGCCTCACTCTGAGTACCAAAAGTACTAGAATCTGTACTTCACCAAGAAAGTGTAATCCCAAATGTAATATATGTTACATCTCACCACTTTCTAAAT